GGCTGATGCGCCGATAGCAAAGGGACCTATGTTAAAGGTGCCTTTATGTTGACCGTGTGAATGGGGGGGGAGGGGGCTTGAACAGAGATCCCTAATATGTATTTGATAATTAGAAAGAAATAGTTGGATGCAGCACAAAGAAGACTATAATACTTAATCCGATCAACATTTATTTTATGAAACATTACTTCAGATAATTTCATTATCTGTAGTCCTGGTTTGGTGGCTAGTGGATATAAAAAAAAGAAGCATGATTTCTATTAGTTCGAACAATTACAATATATTTTCTTAACCAACAAGTAGGTGCTTACTCTGAGATGCAAATTGGATTTTGACGTTGGCGTTTTGGCACCCGAAACAATTTTTTTGTAAATTTAACACTTCCCGTTTTGCGGATTGGTAAGAAAACAAAACGGGCCATCAATAGGTAGAAATAAAGCCACTAAATAAGCGTAGCTAATTTAGTGGCACTAGGGAGAAAATACATTTCCACCAAGGTTGAGGCGCACGTTTCTTTTTTTTTTTTCTATTCACCTTTTTAATTTTAGGCAAAATCAAAGGAACCTCTAATTAACTTTATTGTCTTCATAAATAACCTTGGGAGTTCACTATGCTACTGTCCGTTATGATCACCTCTTTCAACAGTGATCTTCCTATGCCACGATGGAATGAGCCGGTGCTACCTTATCTGTCTGGAAACAAATTGGGGTGTGTGTATGTTCAGACAGCCTAGAACGTAGTCTACCTAAACGAGCGACTCGTCTCGCAGGTGTGGATTAAAAATTTTGCCAGTCTAGTACAACCGGTAGCCTGGGGTCTTTAACGTGCACCAGGCAATGCTGATACACGACGGCACGACGGCACGATGCTCATCCAAATTGAAATGGGCAAGGGTGGGGATGGGACACAGGATTCCTGGGTTCTGTAGCGCGAGTTTTCGCTCCACGTGCTCCGAGCTGGTGTGCTCTAGCCACGGTGGAAGAAACATTTAGGTGATGACTCTCTGTCCGACGCGGCGACTACATTATGTTCGGCGGTCTGAGCGCTTCATTCGCACGGGGATAGATGGCGCCCAAGCATCGGGTCCCTCCCAAACCGACCGCTCCGGTTGTTTCTCCCAGCGGTGCTCCCGCATTCCCTCGCTGGCCGCTTTTCGTTGCACCCACGGTGTAAGAAACAAATTTAGGTAATGACTCTGTATCCGATGGGGCGGCCACATTGTTGTGGTCGCACCGAGCACGCTTCAATCGCACAGGGGTAGATGACGCCCAAGTATGGGATACCTCCCAAACCGACTGCTCCAGTTGTTTCTCCCGCCGATGGTCCCACACTCCCTCGCTCACCGCTTCTTGTTGTACCTCACCACCGTCATGCCACCACCAAGTCACCAGAGTCTGTAAATCTGTGTTCTCCTCCTTCTTCTTTTTCTGTGGGTTAAGGCTCACCTTTGTGCACGATGGTGTCACCTATCATCGACACAGCACAAAATCAAAACACGAAGCCAGCCACTGGCCGCACACCACCACCACACCACGAAAAAGGCGAGCACGCTACGCCGCCGACACCGTGGCCGCCAAGGAGGGACCTCACACCTCAGCGCCCTTTGCGGCGGCGCGGAACTAACTACTCTTGGTTCGAGGCCAGCTCCGAACACGATCTGGTAGCTCGTTCCCCACGAGAAGAACGGCCAGAGTCATCACCTAAATGTGTTTCTTCCACCGTGGCTCTATCCCGCTCTGCCACTGATCCTTTTTTTTTTTTTTTATTGCACTCGGCCTCCGATCCTTCTTTATGTCTGGACGACGTGGTCTGGACCAATACACGGCTCTGGTCTGGACTAAAGCCCCTCGACGTGTTTGCGTTTGTCTTGCAAGTAGCAGCAAATGCGTTAGTGCACGAGGGCCATGTCTCGAGCGGCCCTCGGAAGCAGTTGTCGGCGCAGTACTGAAATTAACGGCCCTTGGAAGCAAATGGCAGCGGAGAACCCGCTCCTGGCACGTGCTTTGCGCGCTCCACAACAATGGTTTCCGGTACATGTAAGCGGGAATTTTATCAAAGGAATTTAGTCGGCACTTGCCGGCAGCGCCTTAAACTTTTGGAACTTAGAGGATAGCTCAAATGCAACACGGCTTTGTGTATTTGAGTGGCTCTTTTTCGCTGACAGGCAGACTGACGTAAAGTGTCCTTTCTTGTCTTACCCGTTGCCAATATTGTCACCTGATGCGCAGTAGGCGCGCGATTGTGGACCAGTAGTAGAGCTGCGCCACTTGCTCGGACAGAGAGCATCTTCGTACAGTTCACGGGTGGGAAACGGTTGCTTCTTGTTGCTTTTTACTCGCCGCGCAGAAGTGTGGACCTCGCCACTAAATGAGCTATGCTTAGAGTCGGCAGTCTGTTTCCCAATGTTGTTGTGGGCGCTGCCATCTTGTTGCTTGTACAGAGCAGACACAACTGCCGATCGTCATGATTCAAAAATGCGACTTTCTCAGTTTTCAAATCGGTGTTAGAAGGGCTTAAATAATTGTGGAGGACGTAAAAGCGTTTTCTGTGATTTTCGATAAATTTTCAGATAACTGGCAACCATGATTTTAAGCCACAATATGGTTATTTAGTGGCAGTAGGGAGGATCATGGGGGAACAGCGCAGCATTGAGCTACATTTCAGACGCCATGTTCTTCCTAGTGCAACTAAATAAGCTACGCTTCAGAGTAACGCCATTGTTCATATTGTGGCTTAAAATCATGGTTGCCAGGTATCCGAAGATTTATCTGACATTACAAGAAACGCTTGTTCGCCCTCCACAAATGTTTAAAGAGTTCGCGAAAGAGCAGGGAAATATATGCGCTTCCTAACACCGAATCAAATGCTGAGGAAGTCGCACTTTAGAATCATGACGATCGGCAGTAGCGACTGCTCTGCAAAAGCACCAAAATGGCGGCGCCCACAACAATGAAGGGGAACAGAGTGCCGATAATCTAAGCGCAGCTCATTTAATGGCACTAGTTCGTCCCAGAAGTGGGGCGCGGCACGTGTCTTGAGCACTTCCACAAAATGTATGGCGCCACATTTCTCAGGACATATGGGCTTTACTCCACACTTCCTGAGGGCGCACAATTTTTTTTCTAGCAGCGGCGGCTCTGAGCTATCACCCTAAAACCATCATCCTGCATTTCCAGGCACACACGTGCCCAAGTCCGAGAAACAACCAGCGGCAGCCGTACTGAGGTCCCTCGTGACCACACTGACACGGCATTTCCTGAACGTTATCAACGTGGCACGTCATTTTCGTCATCTGCAAGAACATCGACTCCGGAATCAGCCGCAAGGGTGGGCAAGCAACGAGGGCACTACATAACCAGCTGCTTTCGACCGGCCACGACACAGGCAGCAGCGGCGGCTCTGAGCTGTCACCCTAAAAGCATCATCCTGTATTTCCAGGCATACACGTGCCCAAGTCCGAGAAACAACCAGCGGCAGCCGTACTGAGGTCCCTCGTGACCACACTGACACGGCATTTCCTGGACGTTATCAACGTGGCACGTCATTTTCGTCATCTGCAAGAACATCGACTCCGGAATCAGCCGCAAGGGTGGGCAAGCAACGAGGACACTACATAACCAGCTGCTTTCGACCGGCCACGACACAGGCAGCAGCGGCGGCTCTGAGCTATCACCCTAAAAGCATCATCCTGTATTTCCAGGTTGGTTGAATAAGCGTTTTCTGTTTAACATTTCTTCGACGCTGCTGCTGCTGCCATACAGCCATCATTGTATATATTATGTCAAAACCTGGCGTTGAATGTTTGCAGTGTGGTTTGCCTCTACCAGACGATGGAAATGTTACAATCTGCTCCGAGTGTTCTCATGGCTATCATTTTGGATCGTGCAGTGGTATTACTGAGGCTTCGTTTAAAAGGAAAAGCGAGAACGCACGAGAGGAGTGGAAGTGCCCGACATGTAGAAAAGGCTTACAGAGAAGTCAATCAGCGAAGGAGGCCAAACCATCAGAAGTCGATATTGCCCGCATGTTCAGCACAATCAGTGAAAAGCTCAAGATTATCTCGAGCCTCAAAGGAACTGTAGATGGCATTGAACACTCGGTGCAAATGATGTCTGACCAGTATGATGAAATCATGACCCAGCTAACTAGTCAGAACGTGGTCATCAAAGACTTGAAAGCGAGGGTTGAAAAAATCGAAGACAGTAGATGTGAAGACGAAATTTCCCAGCTGAAAGACGAAATAAATGACCTTGAATGGAGGAGCAGACGCTTAAACCTTGAGTTTCATGGTATTCCGCAGAAAAACGGCGAGAACCTGCTAGAAAATCTAAACGATGTGGCGACTAAGATGGGTGTACCTGACCTTTCGGAAGCTGAAGTGGTGTCGGCCCACCGGCTACACTTGAAGCCAGGGCAAGTTCCCGTGATCATTGCTCGCTTCGCAAACCAGGGCCCGTTTGCTCGAAGCTGGTTAACTCTAACCGCGGTTAAAAGTTAACCGCGTTTCCCTACCTAGGTACATCCGAGTACCTAGCCGCGTTCGACAAAAACTCAATGCACAATTTCTCCGTGTTTTATTATTATGCGGTAGCTCCCGCCACCTTCCGGTCGAAGCAAACAATAGCCTTTTAAGAAACTTTTTTGCTAGTTTTGTCTTTATTAAGAAAAATAAAAACATCTTATCACAATGTTTATTTTTATGCATGAAAATATATATGTACTTTAAAAAAAATAATAAATATCTTGATGCATCTATTGTGCCGCCAAACACAGCATAAATTTGCAGCGTTGATTTCGGATCTGGCAACGGTCTTTAGAGATTCGTTGTTTTGTTCTCCGTATTTTGCGACGCACGTTTCCCGCGCTTTAGTTATCACCTGATTTTCACTGTTTGTCTTCTCCTGCCATTTGCCCAACCGACCCTCCGACTCGCCCGCCGACTGACTACCGGACTGACTGACAACTGATTTGCGGACTGATTGGTGAAGATAAGGGACGCAATGTCGACTGTGACGCGACGCCGACAACGACGCGTGTTCGCCCAGTACGCTGTTGTGATGATGGGACGGCAGCGTGTGTTCCGTGACCGCTTGAACCCTTTGGAGGAGTTCGACGAGGACGAACTGCAGGAGCGCTTTCGATTCGGTCGCGCGGGCATTGTGTTCCTCGCCAACACACTGCGCCCGGACGTGGAGCGGCCGACGCGTCGCAGCCGCGCCCTCTCTGCAGAGCAGCAGGTCATTGTCGCCTTACAGTTCTACGCCACGGGGAGCTTCCTCATCACCGCAGGGGACTACATCCGTGTGCACGTCTCCACTGCTTCGCGGACTGTGAGGCGGGTGACTCAGGCCTTGGCACGTCGTGCCCGAGACTTCATAGGGTAAGTGGTCTGGAGCATCTCTGATGCGTCCCGATATTAGGCGCATGTGCAGGCCAGTTTTCCGAGAAAAAAAGCCTGGGCCTAGATTGCTCGATGAGCAATCACCATTATTTCAGAAACCCTTTGTATAGAAATTTCGGTGCGTGAATTGTGTTCGCTGAAACCCCCGAATTCGTTGAAGGTGGTCTTCTCAGCACACCTATTCTGCAATTTATTTACGGCGCACCACCTGCTCAATGACCCTTCCGTTTTTGTTTCCTAAGCTGTAGGCTTGCTAGCCTGAATATCTGCCAGCGCATCGATCCCCACGTATACTGGTACCTCCCTAAAGGAACATTAAAAGTGTTGCTTCAGCACTAGATATTTGTTCTTTGGTAATGAGCGTGACATGCAGACCAGTGAACTGGGCAGTAAAATTACACGAACCAACTGGAGTGTACAAAATGACTCCCTTAGTACCTATTATTGGTGCAGGCGCAAATTTAACTAAACTACAAATAAAGTAGGAGTGCAGACATTTACAAACAGCCTGGTTTCTGCACTCCCAACTATGCACTTGTTGCTACTGAGCTAGTCTTGCGGCTTCTGAGTACTGTCATTGTGCAGACGAGGCTTTTATTGCTCACTATTGATGACGATGAATGATAGCTGTGTTATTTTGAAGCATGTGATCATAACAACAAAACCGTCACTGTTAATGTCATAGTGCTACAGACTGACTCAAATCCATCTACAATGCAGGTGGCCAGGTGAAGCTGAGGGTCATGCCTTACAACAGGCCTTCTTTGAGATCGGTGGGTTTCCTTCGGTCGTGGGTGCTGTTGATGGCACTCACATTCGGATACAGGCACCACAAGTGCATGAGGAGGTGTACGTTAACCGCCATCTGTACCATTCAATAAATGTACAGTTAGTGGTTGATTTCTTTTACCGTATCCGCAATGTGGTTGCAAAATGGCCTGGAAGCACCCACGACTCTAGGATATTCACCGAGGGCTCGTTGTCAGGCAAGCTGGCCGATGGCGTTTACGAGGGCCTACTGCTTGGAGACAGCGGCTACACCTGCAAGCCATGGCTGATGACGCCCTTCCTGTCTCCGTCATCAGCAACGGAGGTCGCCTACAATGCGTCACATAGCACAACGAGGAGCATCGTGGAACGGTAAAGCCAGGCTATGCGTCCTGGTTCGACGGTTCAGTGTTTCGGTACCTTGAGGCACCTAACCTTTTTTATGTGGTTGTGCCTGAGCTTTACATATGTTGCCATTTTTATGTTCTTGCATAGTAGGATACGGCCGCTCAGAAGCAAGGAGAGGAAGGCGTATCTCTACTACACCTTATTTATACTACGGGCTGTAACCTACTACCATAGCCTGAAATGTTTATTCTAAGGTTAGCCAGCATTGTGGGAATGAAGAACATCAATTCACAAAATTCAACCATTAGCCAGTTAACTCTATATGTCACAATAATTGTTATATTTCATTTGCTCTTTTCTGTTTAAACTCCAGAATAGAAGTTAGAACTTCTCTGAAACATATCCTTCCTGTATGACTGGGTTTATTAACCTGCAGGTTTTTACTAGCTGTTTATACTTTTCAAACAATAGCAGTTAATTTTTTTTGTTACTCTATATTGCCTAAATGTAAAGCAATTCTTAGAAGAAAAAAAACAGCTTGCATTGTGAAAAAAAAAACACTGGCTTAGGCAGGTTTTGTTTTTAGACAGTTTGTGTACAGACTTATTCAAGCATATCTTATTAAATACTGCTTATCTCAAACTGCATTTTCCTTGCAAGTTTTTGCGAAGAACATTTTCATTATATCTGTGATTGGATTGCTGCGCCATTTGCGCCAAAGTGATTACCCTGCTACGTCCTGCTACGTTTAACAAAAATGTGAGGAATTTGCACCAACGCAGCACCAAAACTTAATTTCATTTTAATAATACTGAAAATATAATAGCTCGGGCTTCGCTGCCCGGCCGGACCGTCACGATATGCTTACGCAAGTTTTCAGGTTTTCAAAACTTTTGATTATCGTCTCGTATACCATACTATTCCATCACATTTCGTATGAATGACAGGCAATATCTGGAAGTTTCGCAATAATTTTTATGTTAGTCGTCTGTTCATTCTGGAGGGTTAGCTATAGTCCGTTGCAACCTAAGAACGAAGGGCCAGGGTAAGACAGGCCGCGGAGGAGGAAGCAGACGGAACGCTAGAGAAGAGAGGGGGAAACCTCCTTCTCTCTTTAGCGTTCCGCCTGCCTCCCCCTCTAAAACCCGTCTTACCCTCGCCCTTCGTTCTTAGGTTGCAACGGACTATAGTGTCGTTGAATGCGCTTTTCACCACGCACCGGTGTACTGCAAAGAAGCAAACACCACGGAGTAGGCATCGCAATTTTGCATGTCTTGCTTCTCTGCAGCGGACCCTGTGTCAAGGAGAAAGCTCTCCTCCAAAGTGAGACTCAAAACAATTCCTGAACGCCACTTCGGCTCGTAAATATGATGGATTACGAGATCCTGGCGGTACCTTTTTCGATTTCGAGATTTAGTAAGGGTACTTTGGTATTGCAACAGCATTTATATGTGCTCTTATGTATGTTTATTTATTTATGCCAACTCATTTGTTTAGCTATCAATTTTCTATAGGTGTGAGTAGATTCGAACTAAATTGACAGGAGCAATGGATGAAATCTCAAGAAGAGCCTGAATGAGTTCGGTGGGTTTGTTTTTAAGTTTCGGTCACATGCCGTTTTTGCTATGAAGTTCTACAGATAAAATGTAATTTATGTTGATAATCAAATGATAATTGCTTTGTTTTTTTATCTCATTTATAAATTGCAGTTTTATTACAACCTATAGAACTTGAAGGAAACATCAGTTTATGTGACCAATGTTATTGTACTAATTTAGTGGCATTCAGTACCTAAAATAACCATTTAAAGGAGTTTGTGCTGTCCTTCATCACTCACCTTCTTGTTACCCTGTCATGGCGCTTCTCCACGCAACTGAACGCTATAGTTTTTTGTGTTTGAGGAACTCCTGCTGCGCAGTTGATGCTAACAAAGGTTTGAACGTATGTGAGAAGGCAATGTAGACTTTGCCCTTTAGTTGGACACGCCGACAAATTATTCTTCACTTGATGTTTGCATTGGTATGAATAAAAATGAATGTGCGCTTATGCTACAAAAGTTCTTTTTGTTGCACCATAATTGACTTTTGACTGCTCCAAGGGCTGCTCCAAAATGACTCAGACCAATCACATCACTGAAATCTTTAACCAAATCTGCATATCATTACTATGTTAAAATATTCCAACAAAAATATAAATTATTAGGCATAATACCATGTTTTCAATGGGCTGGAGCGATGATAGACATCGCATGCCGACCTCATTAGATGTTCTTATAAACCACTTCAAAAGGATAACAGATCTTGCTCTATTTATACACTGTGCAGGACAATAGGCCAGCTCAAGCGGAGATTTCATTGCCTCCATGCTGAGTTGAGGATGCAGCCAGAGAGATGCTGCGACATCACTGTTGCCTGCTGTGTTCTGCACAACCTGGCCAAGACGTACCCCTGCAGCATGCCAAGGACTGTCCTCCCCGAAGAGGTTCCCGTCGAGCCCGTGGCAGCGGGCTGTGATGAAAGCAACGAGGCTCGGGATGCCATCGTTTAGCCAGTTCTTCGGTTGAGCGTAAGTATACCAGGGTGATTTCAGATAAGATCGACCAAAGGGTGGCTGGTCGACATTTTTAAATCAACTGATGTTTTTATATGACATTGTCTAGTGTCTGGTATAAACGAATCCACACTTAGTTTTGACCAGAAAAAAATTTGGAGACAAGAAAAATCGTCAGGCAGGGAGAGGTGGACAGTTGCAATAACGCGCACTGATGGAGGGGGCAAGTTTGAAAGTGAATAATTAAAACAATAAAACTAGGAGAATTTTGAAACGTTTTACAAACAAACTATGGGTACAACTTGCTTGTAATATAAAGTAATAATATTTATTAAAAATTTATTTAGTTTTCTAAAAATTGCCAAACATGCCTGCTCGAACGACAAATGGCAAACTTTGGAAATCTGTATCTCATGAAATAATTTAATCATTATTACATAACTTGCAGACATTATTTTACTAATATATGGCTATTATTGAAAAAATAAATAAGGTATCTGAGTGACACAATTGTTACAATATATTTAGGCAAACATAGGAAAAAAATCAAACAAAGAAAAATTCCAATGCGAATAAAAAAAAAACACCACCTTCGATTTTTTTTAAATTTGGGTACCCTGTTATACTCTATTTTGGCATTCATTTCTATTAAAAACATGTTGCATCATTGCACTGTGAAAGAAGAAACAACTCCCCAAAGTAGGGTCCTTTTTCAAAGCCTACACTTCGCAGTGTCCTATACAAGAAGTGACTCTGAGAAAAAACGACGACGACGACGAGTCCGGTAGGACCATTCTCTTCATTGCTCTAGAGGTAAATGACAATTTTATATATATATATCTGTCACCGATTCTTCCGCAACCCCTCGTTCTTCAACGAGGGGCAGCTGTCCTCGGCTCTTGAAGCAGTGACCCGTCTCCGACCAACGGGGATTAAGGAAAATGAGCCATCCAAACGCACCGCCACAAGCATGCAGCGCGGACCAATCAGCCGAATCATCCAACATCTCTGAGTGCTCCCCTGATAACGTCATGGAGGAGTCTGATGACGAAGGTGGATGGATCACCAAAGTAGCAAAGAAACGACGCCACGGATCCAATTCGAGTGAGGCGACGATCATCACTCAGCCTACTCACAACCTTGTGGTCATTGTCAAACCTACTAATCCGACCACGATCATCACTAACATGAATCCTCTGGCTCTGAAACAGATGCTAGAAAACCTGGCACCAGACGGAGTAATCCAAATTCGACCAAATTATCGCCTTAACCTATTGGCCATAGATGCAAGAAATATAGAATCAACGAAGTCCCTTCTTCGGCTGAAGAAGCTTGGCACAATTCAAGTTCAGACGTATGAGCCAGCACCCCCATCTTCCAATGTTGGCGTTATTCGCGGCGTATCAACAGAGATCACAGACGCGGACCTCTGGGCATCAATAAGGGAAAAAGCACCAGTCATTCAAGTGAGGAGACTCGGCAAGACAGAGGCAGTAAAGCTTGTCTTCTCCACCAGAACCTCACCAGAATACGTCTTTTTGGGGCACACACGATACAGTGTCCTTTCCTACCTCGAAAAACCGCGGCAGTGTCCTAAGTGTAACCGCTTCGGACATCTGGCGAGCACATGCTCCAAAACGCAACGCTGCAGCCGATGTGGTGGAGAACATGTCGTCAGCGAGTGCGAAGCGAAGCAACCAAGGTGCATAAACTGCAAGAGAGGCCACGATGCCACATCCCGGAACTGCCCAGCCTACAAAGCTGAAAAGCAGATAACTAACTACAGAAGCTCGAACAATGTCGAATATACGTCTGCCAAAACTGTCATCACGAATGAACAAAAGGTTCGAGGACTGGAGAAGCACCGCACTCCCCACAAGCAAAAGCAAAGCTTGAAAGGAGACAAGAAAGCTATCATCCCAGAGATGAATGAAACCGATTTTCCCCCGTTGGATACTTTGTCATCAGAAATCATGCCGAAGCCAATGGTCCCGTCTGCAGAGCAGCCAGAGTCTCCACCCAAGAATGCAGAAGCTGTTTCGACCCAGAATACTTCTAAGAACCAAGAAGTACCAAGAAAATGGGCAAGAGAACACCCAGCTCAAAAGAAGCCAAGATCAGTTACAACACCCAAGTCTCAAAGCCTTGGTAATGCGTTGTGCACAATTGTCACGTTGTTGCGCTCTTTCCTCACTTCTCTCCAATCACCCATCGCTCAAGCAATGATCACAATTATCGACATTGTTGTTCCACTTGCCACTTCCTGGTGCAACTAGACTGCTTCATCGGGAACAACACATTGCAAAGTGAAAAAACGAAACATACAAAGAATACACTTCCTCGCTGCAATAAAAGCAGCTTATTTCCCACAATAATTCAGTGGAATGTCAACGGGCTTCGAAACAAGATAAATGACTTACGGCAACATTTACGGAGACACGAAGTCGAGGTACTCGCCCTTCAGGAAACCAACTTGAA